TGGCTGCAGCCTCCCCTCCCCCCAGTGCTCTTGGCAACGTGGCCATACGCGTAGGGCCACAGCTGCTTCCTGTAGTGCTTTGGGATGTGTCCTCTAGGCCCACCTCCACCTTTCTTACCCGAGGCCGTCTGGAAGGCAGCGGGCAAGACAGCTACGGGCTGCAGCCAATGGGAGGCACTGGCAAGGAGACTGGAGGGTGGAGCGGAGGCTTGGGTACTCCTCAGCTCTTTCTCTGCCTGGCCGAGGGTCGATGGCTCCTCTCAGGAGAGCCATGCCTCCTGTTTGGAGGCCCATCCCATTAGCTCCAGCTCTCACAGGGTCCAGGCTGCTGGGCTCAGGCCTCTGTGCTGATCGTGGCTTGTGTCAAGATGCTCCTCACAGACAGTTCATGGGACTAGCTGCACCTGTCTCCTTTCAGTGTCCCGGCTCATACTTTCAGTTGGATCCCAGGAGTTTCAGGTTTTTGTTTTGTTTTGTTTTGTTTTGTTTTGAGACTGGGGTCTGGCTCTGTCGCCCAGGCTGGAGCGCAGTGGCACGATCTCTGCTCTCTGCTTCCTGGGGTCAAGCGATCCTCCCACCTCAGCCTCCTCAGTAGCTGGGACTACAGGCGCTCTCTGCCAACCCCTGGCCATGTTTTCTTTTTGTATTTTTTGTAGAGGCCGGGGTCTCCCTCTGTTGCCCAGGCTGGTCTCAAACTCCTGAGCTCAAGTGATCCTCCTGCCTCAGCCTCCCAGAGTGCTGGGATTACAGCGTGAGCCACTGTGCCCGGCCAACAGTTTTTAATTTAATTTTATTTTATTTTCTTATTTTTTGAGACAGAGTTTCACTCTTGTCGCCCAGGCTGGAGTGCAGTGGCGTGATCTCGGCTCACCACAACCTCCACTTCCTGGGTTCAAGCAATTCTGCCTCAGCCTCCCGAGTAGCTGGGATTACAGGTGAGCGCCACCACACCCAGCTAATTTTGTATTTTTAGTAGAGATGGGGTTTCTCCATGTTGGTCAGGCTGGTCTCAAACTCCCGACCTCAGGTGATCTGCCTACCTTGGCCTCCTGAAGTGCTGGGATTACAGGTGTGAGCCCCCGAGCCTGGCCTCCAGCCAATGTTTTAACAGCAGAAAAGGACGTGAATTCAGAGAGTTTTATCTATAAGAAGTTGAGAGAAGAGGAGTAGGCTGAGCATGTGCCTTGCCCAGTCAGTCCTCGGTTGGCCCCTGTTGGCCAGTAGAGGTCGCCGCCTGCAGGGAGATGACTCGTGGTCATGATCTCACTCAAGGTGACTCCCACCTCAGGCAGCAGAGTGGCGCAGCGGAAGCGTGCTGGGCCCATAACCCAGAGGTCGATGGATCGAAACCATCCTCTGCTATGGACTTGTTTTCCTTCCTGACTGGGCAGCCTGTGGGCCCCTTTCTAATTCCTCCCCAGGCCCCAGTAAACATCCCTGGTCGTGTCAAGGCGCGGAGGATGGGCAGCGGCAGCAATCCGAGTTCAAATCTCGATGTGAACCCACCTTGCCTCACAGCCTGGTCCCGGGAAGGATGGCAGTAGTGGGCTTATTGCCCTCTGCACTCCCTGGCTTGGGCAAGAACCCTCCCTGAGAGCAGGGGAGGGGTTTTGTACTCCTCAGTCCTCTTCTCTGTGTGTCCACCTGGCCCGGGACCCCCCATCAGTACCTGCTCGTGGCTTAGAGAACAGGGTCTGGGCACAGTACATGCATCCTTTGCCTGCAGCGTTTCTGAGGCTTTGAAACCTCCCTGGCCACACTTAGATCTGCTCCTCCACGTGGCCAAAGGTGCCTGCAGAGGCTGGCACCCTTCTCCCTGTCCGGCTGCCAGGGAGCCTCCTGCCATCAACCGACTCACCAGGGACCCCTCCTGAACCCAGCAAGTGTTCTCCTGCCAAAAGGGTCTGGCTGGATCCCCATCCTCTCTTCCCTTCCTTTCCTGAGGGTGTGGGCTTAGGGGTTCCTGCCTTTTCTTTCCCTTTTAACGTTCTTTCTTTCTGTCTTTCTCTCTCTCTAGTTTTGGCTAGAAGATCAAGGCCAGGTGCAGTGGCTCACACCTGTAACCACAGCACTTTGGGAGGCTGAGGCAGGCGGATCGCTTGAGGTCAGGAGTTGGAGACCAGCCTGGGCAACATGGTGAAAACCTGTCTCCACAAAAAATACAAAAATTAGCCGGGCATGGTGGTATGCGCCTGTGGTCCCAGCTACCTGGGAGGTGGGAGGGTCTCCTGAGCCTGGTAGGTCGAAGCTGCAGTGAGTTGAGATTGCACCACCGCACTCCAGCCTGGGTGACAGAATGAGACCCTGTCTCAGAAAAAAAAAAAAAAAAAGCAGGGGGGGCGGGGGCTGGGGCTGGGATGTTACGGCCCTCTGGGTTGGCATTCCCGCTCCACTGACATCAGAAGCTGGAGGTGAGAACCTCGCTCCAACAGGAGGGAAATGCAGCCGCAGTACTCCTCGTACGTCCCACCACCAGGCCCCTGCATCCCACATGGACACAGTACCCATGAGGATGGCACTGACATCCCAAAGTGCCCGTGCTGCTGCCTGGCTGTCTGTGTCCAGACTGGCTCAGGGACAGACTCCTCAGGTACCAGAGCCCAGGACAGTTGCAAACACTGTGCTCTGGGCCCGGAGTGGGGAAGGACTGCCGGCTGCTACATGGTCTTTCCATGACAGGGCAAAAAGGAGGGGGGAAATTGCAGGACAGACACCCTGATGGTGGCTAAAGCCGAAGACAGAGGAACAGGAGGATTCTGCCAAGATCGATGTGAGAGGAAGGCTTAGGGGCATCAGAGAGGAGGCGAAGTGTTGGCAGTCGTTAGCAGCCACTGCTCCCGCTCCAGTCCCTCCTCCCAATTCCACTGCCATTCGTCCACACTCACCATGCAGATGCCGTGTCTGTCACTCTGCCTTGCCAGGTTTTCCTTCTTATTCTAATCAAATTTCAAACCAGGCTGGTGCGGTGGCTCAGGCCTGTAATCCCAGTACTTTTGGGAGGCTGAGGGGAGAAGATCACTTGAGTCCAGGAGTTCCAGACCAACCTGGGCAACATGGCAAAACCCTGTCTCCACAGAAAGTACAAAAAATTAGCTGGGAGTAGCGGCGCATGCCTGCAGTCCCAACTACTCAGGAGGCTGAAGTGGGAGGATTGATTGAGTCTGAGAGGTTGAGTCTGCAGTGAGCCATGATGGTGCCACTGTACTCCAACCTGGGTGACGGGGCCAGACCCTGTCTCGAAAAAAAAAAAAAAGTCCATGTCAGGACGTAAACATCCATTTTGTACTTTAACCACTCCTAGAACCCCAGCTTTGGATGTCCTGACACTTGCCCCGGTGGGCTTTTAGTTCGCTGTTGCAGCTTGTTTACAGCAAATGCAGACGTAGAACAGACATCCTCCAGGTCCTGCGCACTGGGCACCTGTGAGGTGGACTGCTCCAGGGACAGTTCCTAACAGCTAAGCTATACGACCTTTTTTTTTTTTTTTTTTAGACGGAGTCTCGCTCTGTCGCCCAGGCTGGAGTGCAGTGGCCGGATCTCAGCTCACTGCAAGCTCCGCCTCCCGGGTTCACGCCATTCTCCTGCCTCAGCCTCCCGAGTAGCTGGGACTACAGGCGCCCGCCACTACGCCCAGCTAATGTTTCATGTTTTCAGTAGAGACGGGGTTTCGCCATGTTAGCCAGGATGGTCTCGATCTCCTGACCTTGTGATCCACCCGTCTCGGCCTCCCAAAGTGCTGGGATTACAGGCATGAGCTATGACTTTTATCAAGTTGGGGTGTTACTGCCAAACTGCACTCCAGCCAGCAGCCGTGAGCACTTCCTCTTTTTTTTTCTTTTTTTTTGAGACGGAGTCTCGCTCTGCCGCCCAGGCTGGAGTGCAGTGGCCGGCTCCCGGCTCACTGCAAGCTCCGCCTCCCGGGTTTACGCCATTCTCCTGCCTCAGCCTCCCGAGTAGCTGGGACTACAGGCGCCCGCCACCTCGCCCGGCTAGTTTTTTGTATTTTTTAGTAGAGACGGGGTTTCACCGGGTTAGCCAGGATGGTCTCGATCTCCTGACCTCGTGATCCGCCCGTCTCGGCCTCCCAAAGTGCTGGGATTACAGGCTTGAGCCACCGCGCCCGGCCGCACTTCCTCTTCTTACTGTGCTGAATACTTAATAAAAACCTTTGCCTATCGGACAATTCGCATTTCAGCTTTGAAGCATTCAGCCCTGGCACTTGCTTTCCTTGATTTCAGAACACAAGGCTTCTCCTCAGAAAGCAGAGCCGGCCTCTACCCAAAACCCACAGCTCGCCCTCTGCAGCGGCCGACTGAGGGCTCCTCACCATGAGTTGAGGGTTGATCTGCTTTACACAGATGCTGTTTGCAGTGGAAACATAAACACCGGGCCCCATCTAGAGGCGAAGTGGCCTTGGCAAGTCAGCCCTGCCTGGGCCACCGTTCCCTCCTCTGACATCTCTGGTCTAGACTCAGCGTGAAGGTCACACGACTGTGGGAGGCCATGTGTCCAAACGCCTCAGTTGCTCAGCTCTGGGTCCGCAGATGAGGCCATGGGACACCCTCAAAGCCAGCACACACCCAAGGGTTCACCCTAGATCCACACCCCAGGCAAGCGGCAAACCAACAGGCGGGCACAGTGGATGAGCCTGTTTGCAACTCCAGCAACACTAAGGAAGGACCAGTGTGGACAGTCTACACTGGCTGCAACGAGTATAAGCTCTCAGGACAGGTGGAAATGGAATTGAGAAATCTGGGCTCTGCTGCTCAGACCACAGGCACCGAAGAGCAGATCTGTTCACTGGGACGGTAACACACGTTTATCAGATCAGACATGTTCGGGCCCCTGCAGTACACGGCAGCACCAGAGCACACGTGGCCGTGTTCCTACATGGTGGTGCCAGCACGGGATGCCACCAGGGCTCATCTTCTCCTCCTCCTCCTCCTCCTCACGCCAGGACCAGCCTAGCTCACTAGTGGGCATGGGCTGGGCACACCATCCCCCCGGACCAGCCTGGCTCACCAGCAGGCACGGGCCGGGCACACCATCCCCCTGGACTAGTGTGCTGCCTCACACCAGGACCAGCCTGGCTCACCAGCAGGCACGGGCCGGGCACACCATCCCCCTGGACTAGTGTGCTGCCTCACACCAGGACCAGCCTGGCTCACCAGCAGGCACAGGCCGGGCACACCATCCATCCTCCCTGACCAGCGTGCTGCCTCGAACCACATCTAGGCGCCTTGGTCTGACCGCTAATAGCGTTCCCATTATGATGAAGGAACTCTCGCCACTTTTCTCATGTGCAGAAGAAATACACACAGTCCCCATAGCTATAACCCACCAGCAGGCACGGGGACCCCTAGCATCTCATGTTGGTGCCCAGTCCCTCAGCCTGGCCGCCCCACACGACCTGCAGGGATGGCTTCATGGCAGGCCAGCTGTGGTGTCCTGTGCAGTGGTTACTGCGGGAGGTGATTTCTTCACTGTAGCAGGGTGGCCCTCTGCCGCCTCCTGGTGCTCTAGGCCTGGTGAGCATCTTCCTGGAGGAAGACAGGACCTCTCCTGACTCCACACCAGGTGGCAGCTCAGGAAGCACAGGCGAGGCCACCTGGCGTGGCCGTGGTGAGGACGGCAATGCACCACAAGATGTGGCCCTGCTGGGGCAGCAGGTGGCTAGGCTCACTCAACCGTTCACTCAGACACGCTGCAACTGTTTATTCCAGAATCAGAGGTTGGAAACCCAACTGTATATAGACTGAAAGCAAAACAAATACACAACTGAACATGATATATGCAGTCATCCAGCAAGACAGGCAATGGAACACAATATACCCAGTTATCCACAAGACAGGTGCACAGGCACAGCACACAGTGAGACGAAGGCAGCCGAGCGTACAGAGGCTCTGCAGCACGGAGGGCTGGGAAGGCCACCACTCGAGTTAACGCAATCCCAGTGCTTCAGGACACCTCCGGCCACACTGACATCTCTCTTCTCCTGGGATGAGCCCTAGGGTGCAGCTGCGCGGTTCCGCGGATTTTCAGGTGTCTGCCAGCTCTGTTTCACTATCCATGGTTTCACTGCTTTCTCCTTTTAAAAAATTTTTTTTTTTGCCAGGTGCAGCGGCTCCGGCCGGTAATCCCAACACTTTGGGAGGCTGAGGTGGTCGGATCACCTGAGGTCAGAAGTTCCAGCCTGATCAACATGGCGAAACCCCGTCTCAACTAAAAATACAAAAATTATCCGGGCGCAGTGGTATGCGCCTGTGAGCCCAGCTGCTCCAGAGGCTGAGACAGGAGAATCGCTTGAACCCAGGAGGAGGAGGTTGCTGTGAGCCGAGATCACGCCACTGCATTCCAGCCTGGGTGACAAACTGAGGCTCTGTCTCAAAAAAAAAAAAAAAAAAAAATTTGTAGAGACGGAGTCTCACCATGTAGAAACTCCTGGACTCAAGCAATCCTCTCGCCTTGGCCTCCCAGTGTGCTGGGATTATAGGGCAAGAGCTGCCATGCCCAGCCTCTCCTTTCTTTTTAAGGCAAGCTCATGCCCACAGTGCCGTGCCAGAATGGAGGGGGCTCCATCACCCTGAGCACAGAGGGCTTCATGGCGAGTGGATGGGCCAGGGCTGTGTGTGAGAAGAAACCTGTCTGCAAAGGGTGACGGGGAAGTGTTCTGCGGGAGGCTGGACCACCCGAGCATCCTCAACCCCTCAGGGTCGGACAGAGCCTTTACCCGACTCCCACCTCATGACAGTGCTGAGGAGCTGGGGCTCGCCCGCACCCACCTAGCTTGTGCGGGCAGCCTTCTCAATTTTCCACTTTTGTGTCTACCACCTTTGTCAGGCCCTTCCCTTGCCGCAATGCAAGTCTAACTCAAAGACTGAATGTACAAGTTTGAGCTGGGGCCTGGGTCGCCAGGCCTCCAGGGCCCTGAGTGTGGTCCAGGAGGGTGGTGACTGGCTGTGAGGAATGGGAGGAGGGTGGTGACTGGCTGTGAGGAATGGGAGGACGGTGGTGACTGGCTGTGAGGAATGGGGCCTAGTGTTGTCAGAAACTACAGTTTTTCTAAGAAAAGTTGGAAATCCAGATTTGTGTATGAGTCTCCTGAGTCTAAAGGGCTGACAATTAATGTTCTGTCAAAAACATTTTCAAGGAAAATATGGGTGGGTAAAAGAGCCAAAATGGGCAGGAATCTGGGACTGTGGACTGCCTGCCCTAACAACCCCAGGGCCACAGGAGTCCACAGGCCCAGCTGCCCCACCTCGCCCTCATTCCCACATCAAATCACCTCCGAGGCATGTGTGTTACAACCTCTGGGGGTCTTAGCTCGTCACAGGACACTTTCTGGAATTTTTTTAACACCTAAAATACAGTAGTCTGTCTCCATTCTCACTCTTTGGGATTTTTTCACAATCTTAGGATAAAGGGATAAATCGGGGAAGTGCTCCTTTCATGTTAAAACATTCCAATCTGCCGGGCACGGTGGCTCACGCCTGCAATCCTGGCACTTTGGGAGGCCAAGGAGGGTGGATCAGGAGGTCAGGAGTTCAAGACCAGCCTGGCCAACATAGTGAAACCCCATCTCTACTAAAAATACAAAAACTAGCTGGGCACGGCGGTGTGCGACTGTAGTCCCAGCTACTCGGAAGGCTGGGGCAGGAGAAATCACTTGAACCCGGGAAGCAGAGGTTGCAGTGAGCTGAGATCACGCCATTGCATTCCAGCCTGGGCGACAGACTCCGCCTCAAAAAAAAAAAAAAAAAAAAAGTTCCAATCCCACACCTATTATGAAGATAGCACCACATGAAACTGCCTGAGGGGTCTCCAATAAATGGGATAGCAGGGAACTCTGAGAAACCAAAGTAACCCATCGAGCAGTTTTCTTAAGTGTCTTTAATACTCCACTCAAGGCAGCCCCTCCCTCTACTGAGAGTGGCTCTGGCCCCAAGAGCAGCTGGAAGGCCCTGGCCTGACTTCACCACTTGATGTCCAGGCTGTGTGCGCCGCGCTCCTGGCTCTGGTATGTGGTGTGCAGCACCTCTCGGGCTTTGGGGGAGTTGATCCCCTCCAGCCACTCCTGGTACAGCTCCTGCACGTGTGCACTGGACTCCGGACGCCGCACGGGGATGTCAGCGTAAATGCCTTCCATCTGCCGCAGCAGGGCCTTATCCGCATGTCCGTCTGGAGTCTGGGCTTGGCCTCTGCCATTTAAGCATCCTGAAAGATGAACACAGGTAAGTTTATCCTGGGCTCAGGCGATCTTTCCGCGTTAGCCTCCTGAGCAGCTAGGACTACAGACACACACCACCTTGCCTGGCTAATTTTTAAATTTTTTGTAGAGACTGGGGGATGCGGGGTGGGTCTCGCTATGTTGCCCAGGCTGATCTTGAACTTCTGGAGTCAAGCGGCAATCCTTCTGCTTCAAGCTGGGACTACTGGCATGAGCCACCGCACCCAGCCGGGATAGTCTTAAGGAAGCTTTTGCCTCATAGGGAAGACAGTTTGCAAGGGGGAGAGGAATGAAGGGGATGTGGTGTAAGGCTAGGGCTGGCTGCACAGGCCAGGGTCTTCCCCAAGGCCCTCAGGGACGCTAATCCCAGACTCATAGCCCTGTGTGCCTCTCATTTTTTTTTTTTTTTTTTGAGACAGAGTCTCTTTCCGTCGGCCAGGCTGGAGTGCAGTGGCTTAATCTTGGCTCACTGCAACCTCCATCTCCTGGGCTCAAGCAATTCTCCCGCCTCAGCCTCCCAAGTACCTGGGATTACAGGTGTGTGCCACCATGCCCGGCTAATTTTGTAATTTTTAGTAGAGGCAGGGTTTCCCCATGTTGGTCAGGCTGGTCTCGAACTCCTGACTTCAGGTAATCTGCCTGCCTTGGCCTCCCAAAGTGCTGGAATTACAGGCGTGAGCCACCGCACCCGGACCCATGTACCTCTCATTCTTACCCATTTATATCACCCATAAAATGGTTCTACCTAAAACCTAAGTTGCCTTTTAGAACTGAATGGCTTTGTATGCAAATCCCGATTTCCAACTTCTCTTGGAATTTGGCAAAACCAAGATAGCACAGGGATTGTGAACAAGCAGTAAAACCACTCCTGCCTGCACCACACATGTTAGTGTGCTGGGCCCTGCCTGGAGGCTGCACCGGAGGCAGCTGAGTGAGCTGTGAGCCCAGCCATGAGCCCACACACCCAACACTGGCCTGAGTAAAAATGTGTCTCCTATGTATTGATGCTACTTACTCTCCAGCATATTAGATGATGTCACTCTTAGTAGTATATTCATTTAAAACAATCTGGAGCAAATTTCCCCGGTTAAACTTCACTCCCCATGGGTTGCAGGGTGGCACCCCAGTTGGTCTCCAACCTCTACTTTCCCAGGGGGCTGGCTTGCACCTTCTCCTTCCTCAGGCCCCAGCTCCACCCGCCTGCATGCAGAGGCCCTCCCAGAGGCCCTGCTTCATGGCCCACCTCCTGGCTGCTCCTCAGCCCAGCTGTGGGACTGACCCTTCCATGCCTCCGGAATGCTCAGTGAGGCCTCCAAGGCCACATGCTCGCCTCTCTGCCCTCACCCTCCTGTCAGTGCTGGCTGGGACCTCCCCTCCTCTGTGTTGAAGGACACTATGGCAGGGCCTCCAACTGCACCCCTGTCTGTGCCCTGCCCAGGGGCCCCTCTCGTCCTGTGGCTTCACACCTTGTCCCATTCATCTTACATCAGTGGAGCCACTCCTCCCACTGACCTGTACCCAGCGTTTCCACTCAAGTCCCTCGTGGTGCCCCCCCTCCACTCACAATGGCACAAAGGTCCTCATTTCCCCACCAGGGGCGCAGATGGACCACCAGGGGTCAGGGGCAGGGGGTCCCCTTTGTCTCTGACACTCACCCTCAGCACATCCTTCCCGGAGACCCCCACCCTGTCCTGGCCTCCTCTTGTCCTCTCACTCCTCCTGCCCCAGGTGGGGACCCTTCCTCACGTGCCTGGATGATCGCAGCCCACAGTGGCCCACCCTCCCTCCAAGCAGCAAGGGAGCCCCTCAGGCCCAGGCTGGGTCACACCCCTTCCCGCTTCCACCTCTCACTGCTCTCTCCCATCACTCAGGACAGAGCTGGCTCATCCTTGGCGCCTGGCAGGAGGCAGGGGTGTTTCTCCCAGGCAGAGTGGCCTCGACTCTTGTGATTTGTTCTCTAAGCCAGCTGCCACGGGCTGACTCTCACCTGGTGCCATGTGGGGCCTCCTGAGGGCACGTCCCCAAGAGAATGCCCACACACTATGTGGGGTGAGGGAAAGAGCAAAACCAGTGGAGCCTAGAATGTCCCAGCACAAGCCCCATGGGAACATCCACACCCTACAAAGCTCTCGGGGCTGAGAGAGGCTCTGGGTGGCCAAGAACACCGTCTCTCTGGCGGCTGCAGGACCAGTGTGGCCCGAGCACCCACGGGGGACAGAGCCAGGTGCTGCTCTTGGTGCCTCACCTCCAGCACAGGCGAGGACCTCCACAAAGTGGTACGGGAACTTTCCTTTCTTAAGCTTCAGGATCATGTTCTGGATGTTTCGAAAGCCATAGGCCGCAGCAAAGCGTAACACCACCTCCCCATTCTTCTCAAGGGTGACCTCTTGGAAGTCTTTGTTTCTACAAAATGAACACAGAGAATTTTGATCCATCAAGTCCTTTATCTGTGACTTAAGAACACTTGTTTTTTCTTGAGACAGGAGTCTTGCTCTGTCGCCCAGGCTGGAGTGCAGTGGCGCGATCTCGGCTCACTGCAACCTCCGCCTCCCGGGTTCACGCCATTCTCCTGCCTCAGCCTCCCGAGTAGCTGGGACTACAGGCGCCCGCCACCACGCCCGGCTAATTTTTTGGATTTTTAGTAGAGGCGGGGTTTCACCGTGTTAGCCAGGATGGTCTCGATCTCCTGACCTCGTGATCCGCCCGTCTCAGCCTCCCAAAGTGCTGGGATTACAGGCCTGAGCCACCCAAGAACACTTTCTAATGTGAGTTTGGAATGTCAGCAAAATAAAAGTTCCAAATAAACACAAAAAAGCCCTTTCGATTGTGACTGGTGTAAACTCCATACACAGAACCGCCACATGCACAGATCCACACGTGCACACGTGCTGACCACAGGCACAGACAGGCTGTGGACGCTGCCCCACACCTCAGGGCTCGGTAAGTGACCTCCTCTACATCCTCGTTGAACAGCTCCTTGGCCGCATGTCTGAAGATGTGTGCCAGGTGCCCGTCCGAGCTGGCTCCATCATGGCGCGTCACCTTGTCCTCCTTCAAGTCTCCAAACCTCACCAGGCAGAGAAAAAACAAGTCCATCATGAATGCCGATGTACAGTGACAGCAAGCGTGAAACCAGACTTCCAGAGGGCATCACAATCCAAGGTCACCACCAAAGAAGCTAAATCCTCTACAAATGTTTAAACTTTGGAGAAAGTCCCATTTCTAGCATCTTGAGGGGTCTCGGGAGGGCGTGCCTGATGCTCGGGCCAGGCGGAGGACTCTCAGTCACGCCGAGCCCATGCACAGGCTCTTGCAGGTGCTCTAGATGCTTATGGTCTTTTTCTGTCTCCCAGGCTGGAGTGCAGTGGCACAATCATAGCTCACTACAACCCCAGCCTCTTGGACTCAAGCCATCCTCCTACCGCAGTCTCCCAAAGTACTGGGATTATAGGTGTGAGCCACCACGCATGGCCCCACAGATGCTTAACTTCTATCTCACCTTCCCCCAAAAGGACATGAAGGCAGCACCTGGGATGCGGAGTGTTGGCGAGGACACACGCCGCTGCCTTTGTGGTGCTCTCTGCCCAGTGCCTGGGTGCAGCAGGAGCCCCAGGCCTTGCTGGGTATCAAGGTCACCGTCCCCAGCAGAACCCAGCCTGCCACTCTTGGTGCAAGGGGGCCTGAGGGAGCTGCCCCACTGCCCCACAGTGGAACGTGAGGCACAGACGGCACTCAGGAAGAAGGGGGCTGGCGCACACATGAACGGCCCTGCCCCAGCGAGCACAAAGCTGTTTGTGCTTCTCGTCCTTCCTCGAGGGTTTGGGGTGGCAATCGCACCATGGAAGCCCGCCAAGCCTCCCGACTCCCTGGCAGCCCTGGTGAATGGTATCCCACTCAACAGCTAGAAGGGTGGCTGAGGGTTGTGGCGGGGGCCCGGGGGACTGCATCTCAGTGCTTCACATGGCCTCGTCATAAAGCAGGGCAGCCCTGGGCCTGTCAGGTGGCTGGCAGGGCTGACGGGAGGTCCTGCCGCCCAGAGGACTCTTCCCATATAAGCCACTTACAGAGTGTCGACGGCAGCATCCTTCACTGAGAGGTCACCTTGCTCCATTATTTGAGCAATTTCACCTACAGACAAATGAAGTAAGAGACACTGAAAAGACACAGGTGGCCACAGGAACTTTTCTTCCCCTGCAGGAAATTTGACATTAGTGACCCTGGATGATCTCCCTCCTATGAAATCTCCATCACAGACAGCAGGAGTGGAGTCCATCTAAAGGGCAAAGTGAGGCCAATAAAATCAAACACTAATAAAATGTAAGCAGAATTCAATTTGAATTCCTCTTTCCATTCCTCTTTCTGCCCTCAAACTGCGGCATTTATGTAAACAATCTCTCCATGATTTTCCCATGCGGAAAATCTGTAAACTTTTTTGGTCCACTTTGCATGAAACAGAAAACTTTGTTACAACAAGCTCACAGAAATAGGATGATGAAATATATACTGGGTGCATTTTTTTTTTTTGAGATGGAGTCTCACCTCCGCCGCCCAGGCTGGAGTACAGTGGTGCGATCTTGGCTCACTGTAACCTCTGCCTCTTGGGTTCAAGGGTTCAAGCGATTCTCTTGCCTCAGCCTCCCGAGTAGCTGGGATTATAGGTGCGCACCACTACACCTGGCCAGACAGGTCTCGACCTCCTGACCTCAGGTGACCAGCCTGCCTCAGCCTCCTGAAGTGCTGAGATTACAAGTGTGAGCCACTGTGCCCAGCCCATTTTTTTTTTTTTTTTTTAGAAACAAGGTCTCCAGTCTGGCCAACATGGCGAAACTGCCTCTCTACTAAAAATACAAAAGTTAGCCTGGCGTGGTGGTGTGCGCGTGTAATCCCAGCTACTTGGGAGACTGAGGGAGGAGAATCGCTTGATCCTGGGAGGCGGAGGTTGTAGTGAACTGCGATGGAGTCACTGCAGAGCCTGGGCAACAGAGTGAGACTCCGTCTCAAAAAAAAAAAAAAAAAAGAGACAACGTCTCACTGTGTTGCCCAGCGAGGTCTCAAACTCCTGGGCTCAAGTGATCCTCCGGCCATAGCCTCCTGAGTGGCTAGAACTAGAGGCCTGAGCCACTGCACCCAGCTACATTTACATGACATATGGTTATTCTGCAATGAGATCAACTGAAAGTGAGAACCTCTTTCTGTATTTCCTTTTACATGAAGATGCCTGAAAAAACCCTTAATAGAAAAACTGAGCCTCTAAAACCTGGCTGTGGCATCACATCAGATGCTGTGAGATGGCTGGAAACACAGGTAAGAAAATAGCATAATTTCCTATAAATCTGCACTCAGAAAAAAGATGGCTGGACATGGTTCTTCTGATAGCCTGCTGCGCATGTTTTTATTTTGTCAACACAAGCAGACGGCCCCTGGGCCCTTCCTCTGAGAGTGAAGGATGGCAGTGCTGAGGGCCTTTCTGTTCCTCATCCTTCAACACCCCTGCCACGTCACCCCACAGGGAGCCTGTGCCTGTGGGGTGGGGACCTTTCCAGAGGCATCTGCGTGCTAGAATTTCAAGTCAGGGGACTGTGAGGGACATTGGCATCCTTAAAGACTGTCCCTGAGAGCTGACCTCTCTGCCTTACGTACCACTAATCTAAATACCTGCCGGGACCTGTTTTCCGAGACCAATTAAAACAGTTCCACCAGAATTTTAACAGTCTTAAGCTTCCCCCACCAACTGACGTCAACATTCTTCTGAATGGGTTCTACATAATTCCAGGGAATGACTTCCATCCACAACACACACAGAACTCACTATAGGCTCTTAACATCTGAAAGGAGTGGCCAATACGGTGGTAAAGGCAATGTCACTGAAGCAAACGTGAAAAAAACTTCACTTGTGTTTTAAGTGCAGACTTGGTTTGTGAGGAGGAGACCCACTATGGCTATAGACAACTTTCCTACCAAGAGGTAAGTACCCTGCACGGACTGTAATGTAAAGTCAGGGCCACCATATTGCTCGAGTGGTTCTCCCAGAGACCTGATTTATCTTTTATTTTTGAGAAGATGCTGTGAGATGGCTGGAAACACAGGTAAGTCTAAAGGGCAAAGTGAGGCCAATAAAATCAAAC